ATTCAGAAGGACATTTTACTAATGTCAGGCAAGAAAGAAAGCCTGCAAGGGAAAGATTACCAGCAACTGGTAACAGCCTCATTTTTCGTCACTACTCCAGTAACAATGTTCTTGTCTTTTTTCTGCATAGGCTTTCACAATCATTGACCAGAACAGGGACGGTATCATCAGCAAAGACGACCTTAGGGACGTGTTGGCCTCAATGGGTGCGTTTATGATTTGTGTCAGTTGTGTACTTTGCGAATACATCCATGAATCTGTGCTGACCATCCTCATCTCTCTGTATAGGTCAGCTGAACGTGAAAATGAGGAGTTGGAGGCTATGATCAAGGAAGCCAGCGGCCCAATCAACTTCACCGTTTTCCTCACCATGTTTGGAGAGAAGCTGAAGGGTATGCAAAAGTCCCTTTTTCCACTTTGGTTTTCCAATCATTGTAAATTCAGTTAGCATAATTCACTCTCTGCGTCTCTGAAAGGTGCGGACCCCGAAGACGTCATTGTGTCTGCCTTCAAGGTGCTGGACCCAGAGGGCACTGGCACCATCAAGAAGGAATTGTGAGTCTATATTCACTGACATGTTAATCCAGAAAAAAGAAAGATTGCATATCTGACTGCTACTCTCTCTCTCTTTCACTCCAGCCTCGAGGAGCTTCTGACCACTCAGTGCGACAGGTTCACTGCAGAGGAGGTGAGATCAGATGTTGCTCGTCTTTAGAAGTGTAAAGTCGGCATGAAAAGAGAATTCACACTATTTTCTAAATGCAGGTTATCTTATTGTAAACGATTGATCCATGTATGTTTTATTTTTTGTCGAACTTTTTTCTTTTTTGACAATCCATATCACTCGGATGTCTGGAAAATCCGTCACAACAATATAGAAAACAGATACCACTTGAGTTTCATCGCAACTATTTTCACAGATTAGTTAAAATCTCGGAAAGCATTTTAATGTTTGTTTAATCCTAATTTCTTTGTTCTTCCTCCATTAGATGAAGAATCTGTTCGCCGCCTTCCCCCCAGATGTGGCTGGCAATGTTGACTACAAGAACATCTGCTACGTCATCACACACGGAGAGGAGAAGGAGGAGGAGTAAACGGCCGTGGAAACAAGACAGAAAATGAAGAGATGAGCGCGTTTATCTCTCTGCTTAACTCTCTCAGGCTGTTCTTTGTCCTCCTTCTCTTTGTGTTTCTTCCCCCCTTTCTTCCTTTCCATCATCTTTGTTACTTTCAAGCACTTACTCTCTCCATCTCTCCAAAGACTTGTCTCGCTGAGACTGAATTGGGAGGGTGGAGAGGCTCATGACCACAGTGTCTGTCAAGTGGGGACATGGGATTGTTTTCAATAAAATGAAGATCATTTCTATATCTCTCACATACTCTCTCTTTCTCTCTGTTTCTCACTCATTACCCATGACCACCTCTCTTTCGTTACAATCAAGCATGCATGAAAGTTGCATTTTATGCTGCTGTCTAGAGGGTTGAAATGAAGGCATCTATAGCTTTGGGCTGAAATACGTCTCTAGACAGATCTGGAAGATAGCTCACTCTGTGGGGGGAAGAAGCAAGATGGAGTGATCTCGCTCTATAATAGAGGAACCAATCATCATTCTCGCTTCTTCCCCTGATGGTTGACTAAAGAGAAAGAGAAAATGAGGGTTTTGTACCGAGAGAGTTGGGCCTCCTAAAAGTGATGCCAAGCTTATCACGGAGGGAGTAAGAGAGACAGACCATCCAAGGAAGAGAGGAGAGAGGGGACTGAAAGAAAACATATCCTCTTCACTCCCCCTCTCCCCTCCTCCTCACTATTTCTCTGTCCATGTTTTTTTTTTTTTGCTTTCTGCATCTCGGCCTGCTTTGCTCTGTCAGAAACTCTTCTGTAACCAATAAAAGACACAAACTGTGAATAAAACATCTTTTTGTACTGCTATGTCTGCTGGCTGTGTGTGATAGGTGGACAAGTCTGTTTTAGGTGCAATTATAGAGCATAAAGATGATACTGTGAGATAGGGAAGGGAAGACTGCATAAGACTGCAGGATTATGGTGCAGTAAATCACCAGCATAAGGTGACTAGCGCTACCTGCTGGACAATGATAGTCCTACAACGGCAGTGATAACAGAACTGCTATGTCACTTCCGCCTCCACATAAATTGAAAGGTTTTAAATGTTTTAAGCATTAATTGCCTGTTTTGTAATCTAATTATTAAAACAGCAAAAGGCAGAAAAACGCATCTTGCTGAAGCACTTGCTTTGGTCAATGTCCAAAACTGTCAATGTCCAATTTAACATTTAATCCATAACAAAACTAAACGTGGATGTGATGCATGTATGGGACAGTTCACCCAACGGAGATTTTCTTTTGCATTCTCTCTGAGCATATTAATTCATTTAATATGTGTAAAAAGTGGGAAAATGCACTGGCAGGGCTGATCAATTCCTGTTTTAGATTATTTGTTTTACTATTAAAGAAAGACTGAATTAACTTGTTCACCTAATCTCATCGTGACCACAGTTTATAAAGGTAGTAGAAAGTAGCCTTCTCATAAAAAGCTTTACTTCAAAATATGAAGAGTTCAGATGCAAAAGCCTCTAAGTGCCATTTAAATTTTTCTTCTAGAATGATAATTTTTATCAAGCTTGTATATTTAAGTTCAGTAATTTCACTTAAATGGCAATTCATAGATGATGATTTTCTAATAAAAATTATCATTCTAGCCACTTAGAGGCTTTTGCATCAACTATTAATGGAACTAACTAATTATGAAACCACAGCTCAAAAAAAAATATGACTTTATATTTTACATACACTGCAGTCAAAAGTTTTAGATCAGTAAGATTTTTTGTTTTAAAATGAAGTCTCTACTGCTCACTGAGGCTGCTTTATTTTATGAAAAAAAATGACAAACAGTAACATTTTGAAATATTATAACAATTTAAAATGACTGTTTTCTATTTTAATATATTTTTAATATATGTAATTTGAAAGATGAATTTCAACATCATTACTGTTGCTGATTACATATCAGTTTTCAGTGTCACATGATCCTTCAGAAATCATTCTAATATGCTGATTTTATGCTCAGAAAACATAAATTATTATTTTCAATGTTGAAAACAGTCGTGTACCATTTTCCCTCCAAAATTCCATGATGAATAGAAAGTTCAAAAGAACAGTATTTATTTAAAATAGAATTTTTTATAGCATTATAAATGTCTTTACTGTAACTTTTGATCAATTTAACTCATCCTTGATGAATAAAAGTATTTTCTAATTTCTTTACCCCCAAAAATAAAAAAATAAATTCTAACTGACCCCAAACTTTTGAATGGTAGTGATTGTTACAAAAGCTTTCCATTTCAGATCAATTCTGTTCTTTTGAACTTTCTATTCATCAAAGAATCCTGAAATAAAAATGGAAAAAAACTGTAAAAAACACACGTAGACTGTTTCTTGAGCATCATATTATAATAATTTCTGTAGGATCATGTGACACAGAAGACTGGAGTAATGATGCTGTAAATTCAGCTTTGATCACAGGAATAAATTACACTTCACTATATATTCACATATAAAACCGCTGTTTTAAATTGTAATAATATTTCACAATATTACTGTTTTTTTGTTTGTTTGTTTTTTGTATTTTTTAATCAAATAATTGCAGCCTTGGTGAGCAGAAGACACTTCTTTTAAAAACATCTTACCGCTAAAATGTGTTTTCAACATCTGACCTTTGACGTTATTTAAGGTGGCTTTTTATATCAGACTGTCCTTTTATGGAAAATTATTTTTGGCAAACTTCACACACATTCAAATGTATTTTCACTATATGAAATGCAGTGAAAATGTCTTTTCAAAAAACAAAATGTTCAAAAATGCCTTTCGTTTTTTGTGATATCAAAAAACATTAAAAAGCTTTAGAAACATCCCATTTCATCTTGTGCTACTATATTTCATTTGGAACTCACATGTGAAAATGTGAGCCAATGCAGAGCTATGGGTGGAGTGTGAAGTCCAGCTCCACCTCTCTAAATGTAATTTGGGTGTAATAGATGGGACTAGAATATCCAACCATGTATACCCTAACCTTACCCATTACTGAACCCATGACATCCAAAGAGGTGGATCTGTGTGTCATTTGGCTCTGCAGTGATCAGCACAACCTTAAAAAAAAGTGTTTCAAAGAAGCATTAAAAACATGTTTACTTCTTGGAATTCCAAATCAATGATTGTAGAAATCAAGACGCTTCTTTTTCAGTGTAGCCCACATTTTTCCACACATTTACTATAGACAGGCCTACATAGATTCATGGTGATTTTTCTTTCAGAATTATCTTTGAAATCGATTATTTTTGGAATCTCTTACACTTATTTGACCGAAACAAACACTTTCATCGACATCCTCCCTTCCACAGAAAAAGAGAAAAAATGTTTGGAAAGACATAAGGGTGAGAAATAATGACAGATTATCAGTAACATTGGGAAAAAGTAAAAAACAAAATGTATCAAAGAGGTAAAAATGCCTTACCTCAAAAAAATCGCGCCATTCCTACAAGTCTCTGCCGTCTCTGCACGCGCTTCTGGAGTCAAGTGCAAAATGAGTAAAAGTAGGTTACATTATGTACATTATGCTCCTTGTTTCCTGTCTGCCATTATTGGAAAAATTGATTAATTCAGGTGTGACTGACCTCAGTAGTCACAGCAACAATAATCAGACAAACCTGAATTAATCAAGTTTGGCCAATAATGGTAGACAGGAAACAAGGAGCTGGCTGAAGTTCAGGAAGTAGTGCAGCTGTGCATAAAGCCCATTGAAAAACAAACAAACAAAAAGAAAGAAAAAAAAAAACCTTTGTAGCTGTCTCCCGAACCATGTGATGCAAAAAACAAAACGACACATTTTGAATTAAATTTTGTCGAATGGTGACTACTTAATTATATCAAAATATTTAAATGACACTTAACTCATAACACAAGTAGAAAAAAACACTCGAGGGAAATTTTAATATATTACGATTTATTATTCATCACACCTGCAATTATTAAATACACTGTGAACTTCCTCTTCTGCAGTTTTAGAACAGCTGTCTTCATCTATGAATTTATTTCATTCTCAACTGTAAATGGTTTCATGTAAACTTAAAAACAAGTATGAGACATACAAAGGACAGAATGAGAGTGCTAACCTAAACAAACACTAAAATGAACATGATTAAAATTAATTTTACAACAATTCTATAACATACACTGGGTCAAATTTACCAATGCAGAAATCCATAAGACAAGTCAAACTACATAACACCCAGTCCCAGCAGTCTCAGAGTGTTAGTAAACCAACACTGGGTGGCCTTTCATTAATTATTGGTGAGCACAGCGTCTGAACCATTTTAAGTCCACCGGTCGTACCCTTGGTTGGCAATACAGACAGGATGGTGTTAGCGAAAATGGCCTGACAGGTGCTAAATCAGGTTTATGCCAGCACTTAGAATGTGGAGCAATTATTAAGAATAATTAAACACCTTAATCTAGATCACCCAGGTTATCTGAAAGTAACAGGCCATGGACATCCCACTCCACTACACCTTCAGCAGATCAAGTGCTCGTGCCAACAGTGAAGGTAGTCTGAGGCCCCTGGTGGCCACAACGTAAATGTCAACATCTACATTGTGCAAACAGTTAAGAACAAAGTTTGCATAGATATAATTTGCTTGCTTTTCATTTGAACAGCAGTGCCTTTAGAGGAAGAAATGACCATTGAGGTCAATAAGGGCACCACTGATAGGTGAGGAGGAGGTTTGATCTCCTGCAGTTGGAACTGAACGATGCAACGAGTCCAGAAAACACAGGAGACACCATTAAAACATTGACAGAGTATTGGCTACCATATTGCAAACCGGAAATCACTTCAGGTTTCTTCTGTTTTGACAGAAAATATGATATACTGAGAAGGAGCCCTAAAAGCATAAGTATGGTCCAATCACCTAGTGAATGTATCAGAATAATTCATAATACTGAGGGGTCAGTGGATTATGGTGGAGTTAAGTTCGCCAGTGTTCATCAAGAGTAACACTTTGAGTTAAAGTTTTGTTTGTTTTTTTACAATATTTAACATTTAATTACCACAGAAATGCCTGAAATGCCACACATTTTATTGATCCATTCCCTTTCTTTCACAACTCTTTGGGATCATTTCCCCCTTCAATGGGACATATAAAGATGATAATAATAATAATAAAAAAAGATCCAAACAAAAATCATCAGTATGAAATCATCTCTCATGAAACAAATACTGCAGTAAAATTAGACACGCTAGTGATTATAAAACGTCTAAAATAAATAACAACTGCTTGGTTTTGTTCTCCAGGATGTTGGGAGAAAAATGTGCAAAAATCATTTTCAGCGCCTGAAAATGAAAGAAAAAAAAAATCCTTTAAATACAACACTCTCCTAAAGCAAATCTCTCTGCCATTCCAGTCTACCAGGCCTCCATTTACTTTCATAGAAAAATAAAAAATCTAATCCAAAATAAGACTAATAATAGCCGAAATACATATTACATGGTTTCATCCAATTAAATTAATAGTTTATACACATCAAAACATTACAGCCCGAGGCCGAGAACTTCAAAGGACAAAGGTTAATGCTACAATGCTGCACCGAAACCTTCCCATCCAACAAGGCGCAGACTAAAGGAGTCATGTGAACTGGATTAGAGTGTCCTATATTAATGAACCCATCAAGGTTAGTGCTGAAAATCAACAGTCCTCAGTGCATAAATTTATTAAAATCCGAGTCTGAACTCTACATCCATATCAACATCAAGATAATTAACATTAAACCACACAGATATCTGGAGTGAACTACATGCTTGGCAGAATTTTTAGCCTTTACTGCAGTTTATGTGATGCGATTTGTTCAAAAAGAGAAAAAAGAAATAAATAAGCTCATCTGCAGCAAGAGGAAATATTTGGTGAGGCTGACATAATGATGGATTGAGATCTAACGTGTTTGCAGTCTTGTGAGTTTAGATACATAAGTACACTCAACCAAGAACAGTTTTGATTTCCTAAGTAATTATGTTAATTCGGATATTCAAACTTTTTTAAATGGATAAATGGATGTCTATTTCCACAGTTTTGAAAGAGAACACACCTTTCCCTCAGTTCAATTTTGCTCTTCCACTCCCCCAACACTTGTTATTTCCTCCTACCAGAGCACAACAGAGAAGAAAAGCTCTTTTGAAAGGAGACCGAAAACAGAAAAGAAAGACAAGACCCGTGTGCTGCACGAGACTGACACAATTCACTACACTGCCAAGGCACAGACATACAAGAACACACACTAACAAGCAACAGTACGATGAATAAATAGGTCCTCCAGAACACTAAAAACATAACTTACTACTAGACAGTGCCGCACTTTTCGCGCTGCAGAAATGTTTCATTCGGGTACTCTGACACCTCTCGGGTGACGGACAGAGGGGGATTGTGGGGTTGGACTGGCACAGATGGCGCTAGAGGTCTACTGTATGTACACCATGGCACCCAGTACACAATAATTGACTACTCATTATCCAGCTGATCTCATCAATCAGGTATCCAACTTAAAAAAAAAGAGAAAAAAAAAAGCTGAGTAAGAACCACTTCCTGTTGCAGCATTGGGTGAAAGCACTGTGCAGATGGATGAGAGCCAAGGGGCAGATGCAGAGATCCAGTTATCCTTGTGAAATGAGTACTTGAGATGAAAAGGACGTTACAGGAGACTGTTCGCTTTCCCTCTTTGTCTCTTCAGCAGTCTGCAGCCATTTCGATTCTTTGTCCTCTTCTTGTTGAAGGGGCAGAATTAGGCCAAATCTTTCGCCGCTGCGGCTCCATTCTTCTCCTCCGTCTCTCCTCCTCCCCCTTTGTCTTTTTTCTTACCCCCCTTCTCCTTTTTCTTCTCCTTCTCAGCTTTCTCCTTCTCCTTCTTCAGCCTTTCCTTCTCATTCTTGTCCTTGTCTTTCTTCTCCCGCAATTTCAGCTTCTCCTCCTCTTTCTCCCGTTTTTTGTCCTCCTTGGTTTTCTTCTTCTTTTTCCCGTCTTCCTCTACTGCCGTTTTTGGAGTGTCTGGGCACGGGGGTAATGGGGAGTTGTTTGCGGTGGGTGATGGGATGGTGGGGGTGATTTGCTCAGAGACAACTTTCGGCGACGGCTGGAGCATGTGCGCACTGGACGCGTGTGCAGTAGGAGCTGGTGGTGCGGTACTAGGAGACGTTGTGGCTAGTGGACTGGGCCCATGCGGTGCCGGTGGACGCCCCCCGGCTCCAGCATTAGAGGCAGACGGCACTGGAGGTTTTGAGGCTACTGCACTGGCACTGCCCCCAAGTGGCTGCATTGGGACGATATCCTGGCCCAAGCTGCCAGAGGTGGAGCTCTTCTTATTCTGTGAATGAAATGGCATCTTGGACTTTCTAAGACCAGGAAGTGACAGGAGGCTTGATGACGCACGCAAGGGTCCGGGGGGAGGGATATGACCACCTAGAAATGACAGGCTGCCGCCAGAGCTGATCGCAGCGGCCCGCTGTTTCTGCTCGAAGATGGCCCGTGTGCCATGCAAACGGCGATTCGGTTGGTGGGTCAATTCTCCACGAGATTCCCGCCACTTACGCACCTGAATGCTGCACTCCCTCTCGATTAGGGCCTCCGTCACAGAGAGAGAGACCACCTGAAAACAGAGCAGAGAGTATGAGAAAGGACACAACGTACTGCACTGCTACTTCTCTATTGCGAGCTTTCTTGTAAGAGTGAGTTTGTGTGCACACCTCTTGCACCAGAACTTCCTCCTTGATGCTTTCAGGGGAGATGTTCCTTAGTCGCTCCATGGTCTCGTACATGCCCTGCACCTCACGGAGCTTATCCACTGACCCCAGCATCTGCTTAAGTAGCACCAAACCAACCCGAAACACGATCTTCACTCCTGACAAACAACATGAAAAAAAACCTTAAATACGCTCTTATTCTGATAACAAGAAGTGTTTCTTAAGCACCGATTCATTAGCCTAGAAATCTAGACGCACCCTAGCGGCAGCAAAACATATTTTGCAGCAAAGTGTGGTCTAGCAACTCTCCATAGACGTTTTAGCTGGAAAAACTCAACTCTGGTAGGGCCAATCACATCGTGTATAGAGTCGGCGGGCGGGCTTAACAAAGTGACGACAGAGTTGCGACGATCAGAGCAAGCTCGGACATATTCGGGTTTAAGTCGTTCATCCTCGGATGCGGCCGGCGCCGCGCGCGCTGTTACAAAAAAAGCTTTTGCTTGACGATCAACTTGTCATTTTGTCGTCGAGGACAAAGGCTTTATTCCGTGTCAACACGCGCTCTGATCGGTTACAGTGCACGGACCTCTCCCGAATCATCTCCACCACTCCGAAGCACCACTACTCCGCCTCCGTTTCCCTCGTAAGCTGATATTAGTATTTAAACATTCTCTATGATGTTATTTTTTTAATGACACACTACTGTCTCTTTCTCTCTCACACACAAACACACACTGACATACCGTCTCTTTCTTTCTCACACATATGTAGGCTAGTTATAAACTCTTTAGACATTTAATGATTAGTGTTTTATTTTTAAAGTTTGTGGGTCGTGTAAAAAAAAAATCCCTTATTTTGGGGATGTATTCTGGGAAATCTCCCTTGTTTTCAATGTTCAATGTTGACAGCTGGACTGGATGCGGTAAAAGTTTAATATATCAACTTGCTCCGCTGAGTACGTCACCTTCTTCGTTGCTCTGATTGGCTTTAGCGCTATCCAATTGCGTGCAGAGAGAATTTTAAAGACAACCGTTTATCCCACCCCTCGGATTGAGCCCTGTCAATGAAGAGTTTCCAGACCTAACATCTTGATGTAGGTCTGGCATGCCAGGCTACCGATTCATCATAATAGAATGACTCTGAAGACTGGAGTAATGATGCTGAAAGTTCAGCCTTGTCATAAAATAAAATAATTTACAGATGCTTTAATTTACTAATGTGTGCAACTAACCTTCACAGAAGAACATGTCCCAGACACGCAGGACACACGACCAAGGCAGCGTACGGGAGAAAATGCACATAAACCACTCTGTCATGTACAGGATGGGGTCGATCTTAAATTTCTTTAGGTGACGGTAAGCCATGGGACACACTCTCCTCAGAAGAGAGAAAAAAATCTCTCCGTCCAGCTGGATAGCCTCCTGATGGACAAGAGAAGAGAAGAGAAGAGAAGAAAGAGGAGTTTTGACAGAAACACTCTCCTCTGTGGTCCTAATAAGAGTCTCTTTTTGTTACTCACCAACCCAGCGCTGTAGTAGCCAGGCAAAAACTTCTCACAGATTTGCACAAGACACCAGAAGGCTTGCTAGAAGAAAATAACAGTGAAGATGATGACAGGGTTATATCCTGAGATATTACTCTAGTCATATTACCTAAAATCAGCCTAGAACAACAACCTAGACTGAGCTTTGTTCAACTCTGTCTTACCTCAGCGGGCATGTGCATGAGCAGCACTGCCGCCACTGGTGCCTGGGCCTGACAGTAGCCTTCATCCGGCCGGTAGATTGTGTAGGCTTTCAGTATACGGAACAGGTCCTGCTGCCTGAACACACACACACACACACATACCACTTTTGACAATAACAATGGCTGATATTTATTTTTGTGGTATGGGCAAGAATTGCATGAAATTATGGTGTTCTGCTTGTTGATTTTTAAAAATTATTAATAACAATATTAATTATTATTCAAGTTTAAACAATCAAAACAACAGGCTTCAACAAAAAATAAATATCTGCAAATCTTATTATAGATAAATTAATAATAATCATTTCTTCTCCCCTTTTAAAGTGTACTCTTTGAATTGGGAAATATATTATCTGCTTGGCATAGATATAAATTCCCCAACATATAATAGATGAACTGAGAAACAACAGAGGAGAGATGTGAAAGTGTGGGGAAGTATAAAACTAAAGCCCAAAGTATACTTTGTTTTTGTTTTCTAACGCAAATGCTAGTGTATGCATGCAGTCGAACAGGTAGCCTTTTTAAAGTATACTCCATTTGATAGCGGTAGACACATGCACTCTAGAAAGTTTAATTTTTGTCCATTGTCTGCACTGTTTTTCTCCAGAAGTCATGACCGATAAATATGTCTTTGTATTATTTTACCCGGGCCAGTGTTGGAACAGAGATGCACTGCGTCCGCAACTGCGTAGCTTTAGAGCGGGTACTACATTTGAATTCACATCATGACTGTGTGTAAAACTAAACTCTATATAGTATGAATGTGTGTAGTACGAATGAAATTCAGACATACTATATTCGCCATATTGTCAATGTGTCATGAGATGTCAGATGCATCGCTTCACTTCACTTCCATTCATAAATCCTCTAGTGGCCTGATGGGGAAGGAAAGTGTCCATATGCGCACTTTAGAATCTAGCAAGAAGCAATGTCATCCGGGTACTTTTCACCTTTTTTTGGAATACTATGGATTCGGGCATACTACTCCGTTGCTGTACTGTCGCATGCTATTTAGTAGGGAAGTATCCAGTTTCGGACGCAGCAATGTTCTAATTGTTGGGAGATATGAGGGTCAATGGCTCTACCATTGGCAAATGCGTAACGGCAAACTTGGATCACGTATGCTTTGACAACCAGTCAAATTACAGCCTTGATGTCATTGAATTTCGTAATTTAGTGAGTAATGCGACAGTCAGTCACTGTTTGCGGATACCAAACATGTTGAAGAATAGCTGATAGGCTGACAAATCATCAAATGATTAGCTATTTTCTCACAAAAGCGGTTTATTCAGCGAGGGTAGCGAACCTCTCTTCCATTGACATCCATGGCCTCTTGTTATCTTCCCTGCCTACCACAGGCGTTACGCTTTTTCCGGCAAAGGTTGCAGGCTCGCATTCAAGTGGCATTGGTTACCAAAATCAGGCAGTGTGTGTACGGTACAGTAAAAAAAAGTATACTTTGGGCTTGAGAGGGTCAGTGCAGGCATCAATGTGCACTACGCAGTGAATAAAGAATATTAGAAAACACAAAGCAAACCAAAAACACAACAGGAAAAATTTGCTTCCTTCAGTTTCCAGGATTGTGTAACAATCTAAATAAAACTCTTTCTCTTGATAAAACCCTCATCGGAATTTACCCATGTCCTCCCCGAGCAGCGAACATCTCATGAAACGGGAATTGCCTGTGCAAGTCCTTCTCTATGATGTCCAACCACTTTGGATCTCCCTGCTCTTGCTCCAACTCCTGAGACAAAAAAGAAACAAGAAAGTGAACCAATATGTCTATAATAAAAAAGTTTGTACATTAAAAACGAGTGTTTTGACCATCTTAACTAAGATATGCATGACTGCTAGTATAAGAACATTAAAAAGGAAAGAAAGGGTTCAGAATTGCAACTAAATGGTTGTGTTTTGTGGCCATTTGTCATGCCCTTTTAACACAATGTTGTTAGTCCTCACAGCTTAACTGTCAAATGTGAACTGGAACAAAATGCAATATGATGATCAGGTGCAATTAATGGTGTAATACAGTAAAAACATCATATATAATCTGATGCGTCTGTCCTTTAATTGTAAAATTTTAGTCAGAAGCTCCTAGATAGCAAAACCTAAATAGTTAACAACTAGCCTGACTTCGTCATGCTCATATTCTAGTCTGATACTGCTCCATAGGGCTTTGATTACGAGGCGTGTCTTATCCGAACCAGGAAAAAACCCTCTGCACTCAATTGGATAGAACTTTAACCAATCAGAGCAACAGTAATGACGTATTTTGAGCTACTCATAGTTGTCAACAGAACTCAACTGGACACGCGCTGGAAGAAATAGTGAAATAACGAGTGTTGCTTCTTTTACTTGGTCGCGACCAAAGGAGAAGCCACAATGACAACAGGGTTTTCATTGCGTCCAGGCTAGTTAATAGGGGTGGGCGATATAGCCTAAAAATTATATCACGATATTTCAAGAATATTTGCGATAATGATATTTATCACGATATAGAAAAAATATATATGAAACAAATGTTTTATTGGTGATTGCAGCTGGCTGGCAGCAGCATTAGTGCAAAAAAAAAGTATAACATAACTCCTTATCATTTTATTTTAACAATAACTACAGTAATACATTAACAATATTAACAATAACTTCAGAAGCCTGCACAATATAGTCACCTAATAAAATTTACCTAAACTTTGAAGTACAAAAAATTTAAACAAACAGCGGCAATCCAAACAAACCTTCAAAATGTAACAGTTGCCTTGCATAGTTTTTGGATTAGCATCAAATGAGGTATACAATACCTAATTTATACAATAATTGTATAAAATCGGAACATTTAGAGAAAAAACATTTAGTGGGGAATAAATAAGAGACAATTGTTTGTAACACTAAATCTGGTAAAACTTTACACATTGCTCTTTGTATTGTACATTCATGAAAAAAAAAACAAGGTAACAAATCAAAAGGATTAATTATTATATAGCCTAGTCTACTATAAAATTGAGGCATGTTTAAAATGTATAGCACAGCTGTTTAATGAGGCAGCAACATATGATCGATAGGACAGAACAAAGGCTATTAATAATCTTTCATTGCGCAAAAGTATTATGATATGAAAGGCTCCAATATATCGCACAGCGCTTATGCGCATCCCGAGCGCTGAATGATGCGCTTGAAGCAAGTCACAGCGCGCACGCGCAGCGCGTCGAATACTCCGCACTGAACAGTTCAAAGCACAAAGGAAATAAATATTGATGCGTAGCGTCGTGGATAATATACAGCATCTAGCTATGCAATCGTTTATTGAGTCCTTTCTTTTAACAGTTTTACATTTCAGTTACTGTGCGTGTGATGAACAATAGTGCTCTGACTCTAGTGTTTTGCTCTAACAGACACCCGGCCGGTAGAAAGTAACATGATGATTTAGTTAACGTTACAGCAATAAAGTCCAGCAAGATAAAGTTGTGTTATGCGAAACCATAGACCTTTTATTTACAAATATAATAATAGTAACATTGAATCATCTTAGAAAGAGTTTAATCGTGTTGACTGTTGTACCCGAACTGCGGAAACTCTGAAGGAAGATTAGGCGAATGCAAAATGTACGCTAGTAGGGAAGTGGTGAAACGAGTTTTCATGCATATTTGACAAAAAAAAAAAAAAAAATTGTGTTGTTGGAGATCTGACCTCTTGTATTTAAACAACTTCCATACTATTGGAGTAGCGCCCTTTTTAGGAACTAAATCTTGATCTGATCCGGAGGCTGACATGCTGCTGTGTTGTTGTGCACGCGCTAAGTAACGTAAATACGCCATACGTCATCATATCATCAATATCGCGATATGACAATTTTTTATCATGTAAAATTTTATACCGGTATTATCGTGGACGGTATGATATGGCACAGCCCTACTAGTTAACAACAGCAATAGCTTATGAACTTGACTGTACAAATACCAGGTGTATCAACCTGACCATACCTCAAACTTTCCTGGATTGGATTCGAGGAGCTCCTGGCTGTTGGAAAGCAGCTGCCAGGCTTTAGCTCTGAGAGAGGAAGGGATTCCTTTCCTGCAGCGGATTTTTACCTGCATCAGAAAGAAAACATAACTCAGCATTATCAACATTCATAAGCACTGCATTTTCTAATCTAGTCAGGAATGTCTTCAAATAAGAAACAGACCTTTTGAAAGCGCCGGGATACCCATTTGTCCCAGTTTCTGAACATGTCCAGCCATTTCATCTCTCTCTGTCTCGCCACTGCCACAGCGATTTCCGCCTCGCTACAAGACAGAGAGGAATTCACACATATATATAAACCACATACAACGCATAAACCTACAAACACCCACGCAAGCCCTGAGATAATGTTGAGCTTGTGACAAATGGCTCAAAGTCAAAATGGTTTACTCTGAATCTGAGAGAACAGACGTCTAATATGCAGACAATTGCTGCTTTTGAATCTCTCAAAACTTATTAGAAAGCCCTGAAAGCTGAAAGTAATTGGAAAAATAATATGTTTTTGGGTTACACTACATTTTAAGGTGACCATTTCATTGTACTTCATTAACTACATGTACTTCCTTTAGTTACGGTTAGGGTTAGTTACCTGTAATTATGCATAATTTACTGTTAATTATGCATAAATTACTATAGTAAGAACATATAGTAACATGTAACCACGTCACTTATAAACAAAGTGTTACCAGTTTAGTAGCCTTGTAAAGAAATAACATCTTCCAAATGAACAAGCCAAGTAGTAGCGATGCCAGACAGACAGAACACCTCGTGTCTGAGACTTTGGTCTTACTTAGTCAAAGTGTGTGATTTCTGCAGCACTAAACGGAATTGCAAAAAATAATTATAGTATCATAAGGACTAACAATCGTCCCGTCCCAATCACACCACTGATTGAACAAATCATGCTATTTGGCGCTTGTCAAGGTGCTCAAACACAAGATTGCAGAACATTTTTTTCATATTTACACTGTTCAGGAAACCATCTAGAAAAAAAATATGACTCAACTTACTTAAATTCAGCCTTCACTCGGTCTCTAAAGTAGAAATTTGTGAACATAGTGAACAAGTCAGTAGCTTACAGACAAGAAATAACATTTCAGAACATTGCTACACTGTTTAGATGTATTGAATTTTGAAGTTAATACCTTTAAAATTAATTTATTTATAATTAACTGTCATTATTCAATAACATGTATAGATCATTTAATATACATATATGAAGTAAAAGAAAGTAACAAATGAAGTAACAAATCTGACATATTTCTATACCAGTTTCTATAAAAAGGAAATATCCCAAAATAACATATTTTACTGAATGTAGCAACAAAATTTGTTTTTAACAATTAACCTGTAGCAAATATGTGACTTATAATAAATAGGCTTTGAGATTTGTTTAGCCTTGGTTTAGACACTAATTCACGTACGGGTCTGACTAAGACAATAGCTTAAAAAAACAAAAATAGCAGAGAACTAAATCTGACAGACAGCACGCTGAGCATATGAGAAAGTCTAATTTAAGACTAACCCACACTGACCATTTTTAAATAGCTGGCAAAGCATGTGGTGGTTAATAAGTTAGGCTGAGCCGGAATTAAAAAAGGAAACGTTCAAACGTAAAGGACAGTGTTAGTGGCTATTTTTGGTTGAATTAGTCAGTACTAGAGATAAAGCAGAGACAGCCGGGGGAAGAGAGAGACAAAAAGTGAGACAGTCAGTGCTCTCTGACTCAGACGAGCCCTCTCAGCACAATCTGAGTCACTTACAACAAACACGTGAAGGGCACCGTGTGAAGAGAAGCAGCGAGAGACGGACACAGGAAAAACGCACCAAATGCTCATCCTGTTCTCGGCTGTAGGCGTAAATTATTAATACCCCAGCAGCACACGTTACATCAGGTGCTGGCAATTACCCTATCAATCTCATTCATTATAAATGCTTATTCTCATTCATCAAACCAAGTAGAGCCAAACAGAAGAATATTCAATATATGAGTTGCAACATGAAATCAAATCCTTTCTTAACATATGTTCATGGACTTGTTGTGCTGGGGTTGATCAATATATTTCTACCTTTGACAATAATCAATATATACAGTATGTATATATATATATATGTATATATATATATACACATTTTATGTATTTGTTTTGGAAATGGCTTAAAAACAGTTTAACGCTAGTTTAAAATCTTTAATACCTGTTTCATCAAATCAAATTATTATATAAAACAATAATAAATATAAATATAAACTATAATTTATATAAAACAATAATAAATATCAATATTTACCTATTTAAATTTTACTAAAACATTAAAATAATTTTTAATATACTGTATATGAAAAACAAAGACTTCAAATTGATTCTTTGTAACTGACAGTTTGAACTGATAAAAATGGATCAAACATAGAGCTGGTAAGTCCCGCCCATCCGTAAAACTCCAATTGGACCTCTAGGTTGAAAAAGCGGCGTCAATGCAAGTGAATGAGAGAAAATAATTATTTTCTGATCCCATTTGAATTGTGCCATGAAAGTAACATATGTTGTCTGTGAATTTTTTATATAATTTCTCATGTAACGAGTTTGACGGTATATTGTATGATTCTTCGGCTAGCAGTTGTGGAGTAGACACAACAAAAAAGACTACACGTCGCATATGTGACGTCGCCGCATAACACAATTTCCCTCCACAAATCACGGTTTTCACCATGCTCAACTAGTTTGTTCTCTCCCTGAAAGAAGGTGGTGAAGTACACCAAAGACACAGGCATGTTTAGCGGGATCTGTGTGCTGGTGGTTGTGTGATGTATATCAAAAACGTCAAAAGAGTTGTAGTCCATAAAGTGCTCTTACACAAAGTCTAACCGTATGAAAATTCTTTACACGAAACATTATATAAAAAATTCACAAACATATGTTCACATTCATTGCAAAATTCAAACAGGATTAGAAAATAATTATTTTCTCTCATTCACTTGCATTGATGATTTTTCAACCTAGAGGTCCAGCGGGGTTAGCAGAAGGGGCGGGACTTACCAGCTCTATACCAACTCTTAAAGCTGCAGTCCGGTGTTTTTCCTCTTTGTCGCCATCTCTGTTCGAAATCTGCAATTGCAGTCATTACCGGATTTGTCAACTTTACGCGAGTTGTACTTCAACATCCTCGACACGGCACAGCGTAGATGAACACAATGTTTAAGGAGACTGTGAGGCTGTCAGTCACCGCGCCGGTGTCGATACTGGCATTCAAAATCACAGATTATTAGTTTTGGAAGTATGACTGACATAATAATTTTCATTATTTTCAATCATTTTCACTGACATAATAATTAGAAAGTGTCTGACCTAGTAAGAAACATCCACTTTCATTCTAGTTGCAGTAAATCAAGCTGATTAAATCTAACAATTGCATATCATATCACACAAAACATTGCAAATTTTACTTTGTTCTCAAATTGTCATGTAATGTCCTTCCGATATGTATCCATGTTTTCGCATGGGTCCGGTTGCAGTCTCTTTTTTTCACTCCAAAGTCTTTTGTATTTTACAGCGGGTGAATCTGTAGTCACTGGTGATTGTCGCGTGAACGTTTCTGGATCCACCATCAAATTAATAAGTTTAATCATATCAAGTGCTGTGAGAAAAGGCTATAAATCTCCACCTCCAACATCCTCACACACAATATAGCTTATATTAGCCGAAACTCTTCTTTATGTGTACAGATGTGACGTAATGACACGAAAACATGCTCGAATCTCCCGCGGAAATCCACCAGTACTACTGGAATTAAAAACATTATTACAAGCTTACCACATTGAATCGAGCTACGGCAAGCAGATAGCATTGAACACTGGCTGGTTTCTCAAATATGATTTTGGATCATTTTTAACCCCAAAAAAGCTATGGACTGCAGCTTTAAGACCTATTCCCACTAAGCCCACACCACAACTATAACAATATCAATGACGAAGAATAATGAAATCATTGGAATCACTTTCAGAATGATTTTTTCCAGCTGGTGAAAGGCAAAGACATTGACATTGAAGCATAATCCACATATAACGCATCAGATTATGAAAGCAAACATTTTTATGAAGTGTTTCAATATTACCTTAAATATAATTATAAAAGTAGTCACATTAATTATAATATAAGCAATATTAAATTCAAATATTATGCTAATAATATCAGAATATATTAATGTCAGCAGCTGACAGTTAACACTCGTAAGACATTAAATGCTGAAATATGTGACATGCTCTAATAATCTGAAGTGGTTAGTCTTTACTCTCTGTGCTTATAAGAAAACCATGATAAACATGAGAATGTGTTTTCGGTTCACAACCACTCACCTTCCCTCACTGTACTGCGCTCCACCCAGGAAGCCATATTTATCAGTACGCCTCACTGGACCGTTGATCTCCGAGTCTGACCCCACCGAGCTGCCGTCCTCGCCGAGCCCTGACAGAGACTCCAGAGTTCCTGACATCAGGCTGGCCGACTCCAGGTAGCTAAGCGTGTCCGGGGCTGGACGCCTGTGCGTGGAGGGCAGAAACATGGACCCACCAGACTCCTGCACCAGTACAGCTGGGGGTTCAGCCCTGGTGGGTGTGCAGGGGGGCTCAGGGGTCATCTTATCAGTGCTGGGACTGTTGGGTTCAGGGTTTTGGATGTGTTCTGGCTGTGGGGCGGTTTGTGCTTCTGTTTGCCTGGAATCTTGTGAAGAGGGGGCCGGGTTGGAGACTGGAACCGGAGGAGGGTTAAACTGAGAAGGAACGTCTATGGGAGGAGCAGGACTGGAATTCTGGCTAACTTGAACGATGGGATACAGATTAGGACTGGGATTTAGTTCAGGCGACAAAGGCATCAGCTGTTCCTGCTCTGAGCCCTGTGCTTCAGTGTGCCGTTCTGTTTGGCCAATGAAATCACTTTTCCCATTAGACTCTGTATCTGTAGCAGCTAGTACCTCTACTGGTGGTTCAACAGCACTCTTTGTTGCTGTTGAAGAGGAAGCTGCATTGTTTTGGCCAGGTGTGGGCTCCCAAGATGAAGAGTTTTTTCCACCTGCCTGTAACACTGGGTTACCCATTACAGCTCGGTCCCCGTAGAGAGATGATTTTGGGATGGGAGTTTCTGAAGGGAGAGGCTGTGGGCTGGAGGGAGCAGGCAATGATTGGTCGCTCATACTGGGAGGGGAAGGGTTGAGGGCGGAGATTTCAGCCATAGCTACTCCTCGATGACACAGCTGATCAAAAGAAAGATAAAACCAAAGTCAGTGATTATTATTACTTGAAATGCAAGAATAAAAACAAACACGGTCATTTAATTAAAAGAATAAGCCCCTTTGGGTCTGAGAAGTGAACAGTGTTTAAATGTGACTAAAACTCTGCAGTTGGCAGGTAAAGACAGAAAACATTAACAAACGTATAAAAAAGAGAACCAAATTCGATGAGGATGTAATAAAGTGAAATAATAAAGTAACGACACCTCCAGGATGCTTCGTCAGCACATAAAGGTGCATGTTCTGGGTACCATATTTCAAAAATGACACATCAGAAAATGTTGTAATGTGGGATTTCATTTAAGAATGGAAACATGTATACCTTTACGTGCTCATTTTCTTGAGAACTTGTGAAATAATAAAGTAATGACAGCTCCAGTATGCTCTGTTGGCACATAAAGTTGAATAACATTAAATCTCAGTTGCAAACATAATGACATGTTTTTGCATCCTTTTAAAAAGACATTTGGTAAGAAATGGAACTTGAATAAAAAAAAAAAAGCACTCTGGTTGATTTTTTTACAGGAGTATATATATACGCACTGTTAAATGAAAAACTATAGGCTTATAATTCCCATACAACTGTTAATTTAAGAAATATGGCCAAAATAAGGAGCTGGCAAAAAAGGAGCAGGAGTCAGCCTCCTCAAATATCCACAGTTTCACACATTTCTTGTTTCCTTATAATATCTGAGACACGAGTTTAACAGACTGCGTGCTTAACTTGTGGATCTTAGAGAGAACTACAAGTATTATTTTAACCCAGAATACACACAACCATTCAAAAGTTTGGGGTCGGTCAATAAGATTTTTTTTTTAAATGTCTTCTGCTCACCGAGGCTGCGGTTATAGTAAAACTACTTATTTTGTGAAATAATGCTGTTGTCTATTTTAATATTCTTTTAAATGCAATTTATCCTGAGAAATAAATATTTTGTAACATTTAAATGTCTTTACAGCATTCTTGCTGAATAAGTGTTAAAATAACATAAATTGGTTTAGATTAATTATTGTTTTAAATCTAAATAAGTAACTAAAATAAATAAAGGGTAACAACACATGACATGAAGCATATTTAAGCATATCCTTAAGAGTAAAAGACATTCATAGACGAGGACTGTTTAACTGTTTGGTAAAGAGTCAAGACATCGGTGAACTGTTTCAAAGAAAGTCTCAATGAATATGAAATAAACAGATGCAAACAGTGATATGATGGGCTGCACAAGTCTGTTACAGATCTAGTTTAGGTACAGTGTAAAGGAACAGGTTACCACTATTTCCTCTTACATTAAGATCTGCCTTACAGACTTCCGTATGATCTATAAATGTGTCCGAGTACACATGCTGACAGGACGTAAAAAGGAAGTGATTCCTTGACAGAAGCACCGTGGCTGTTTTAACACACAAACCATGTGTGATTGTCAAACTATGGGGTGTGTCAACAAAAAGCTGATAAAACATTCACAGAAGTCAGATGACTATAAAAAACTAAATGTGTTATAAAGAGTTATCACATAAACAATTAATAACCTAATTGTAAAACTCTAAAACTCATCAGGAAGGCTTTGTGGTAGAGATAGAAAGTCTTGCTCATTTTGGTGCAAAAATGATTCAATGATCCTTTTAAGACATGGTGTAATTAAAAATGTTCATACATTAATCTTAAAAAGAACAGTCATATGGTACCTAAATATTACAGGTGTAACGATACCCTCATGTTATGATTCAATACATATCACGATACTGAACTCACAATACGATTATTGCAATACTTCAAAACATGATAAAAGGTTAACAAAAAATGTACTGTTAATTAAACTGCTAACTTTGATATTACATTGTGGGTTTAAATGAACAGGTTTGGACTCGGTGCTTGTAACCCAAGGACAATGGTGACACAAGAATAAAAATATTCATGATTCTGAAGCTGAAATTACAGAATTATTAAGATAAATATATACTTGCACTTTGTCACTGACTAGATATATTTAAAATCATTTTATTGGTAACATAAGACATATGGCATTACCAGGAGGACCCACAAATATTCCCCTATTGCATTATTATACAAATTACATTTTCTCACGCTGTAATTTTTATTTTGGGGGAACTATCCATGATGCATATTGTCACTATCCACGATACGTATTGTTGGATTTTTGTATTGCGATATATTGCGGCACAAAATTGTTACACCCTTACTAAATATATATTAGCATTTACATTAGAAAATGCTAAAACATTTGGGTGAAAACGATTTAAACGATTTAAAACGATTTACACCATTATAAGGCTTCAACCAACCGACTCGTATGTGAACATAATAAACTATCATATATCTGTCATATTCATAATGTTTGATTTAAGTATTTTTTTCTTACCCAAATGTCGAATCCTTCAAATACTCTAATTACTCTAAATAATCATTCAATCAGTTACTGTTGGTTAAAAAAAGCCCAAATCGTTAATGAATCGTTCGAACTGATTTTGTGAATCGGCTCAAATGATTCACTGAAATGATCCGACTCAAAAGAACAATTCGTTCAGGAAACGGACAATGCTACTTAGTGGGACTCCACCCATACACATGAACTGTGCTCATTCCGGGTGACAAAAGACTAATAATATCTAAACAAGTGTGAGGGCCGAGATGAGATGTAAACAAACCACACAAAATAATTTTCAGGGACAGTTTTAACAAGGCATTGGTCCAAACGTGTGGGCTGTCAATCGCAGTGTGACTAAAACCACACATGTGAGGTGACTGGACAATAATACAGCGATACCCGGATACCGGGAAATGTCCATTTCTAAAAGACCATCATCTATACAAAATACATCACGCTTTTAAACACAAGACTACAGTCATGAGACACACAAGTAAGGTCATAAAGTGATCATTTGGTACCCGAGACTAACCCGCAGGAGGAACGTTAGCTGGATTTATGACTGCCAAGTTTAATCTAAAGCAGTTAATCGTGCTGTCCGATCTGACGTGCAACAGCCTATCATCAAACGCGTCTTAATTATGCCGAGAATCACCAATCACCCCATGATACTTGTGATATATAAAACATTATACGTTTTTAATTGTAATGTACTAATGTAGTTGCTGAAACTGGCCTGCTAACTTGCTAAGTTAGCTCATGCCCTACAGTATCCAGTGCGGCCGATCAGCTCAACTTCCCGGTTTTCGGTGCAGGAAAACAGTGTTATTTACTGTGTTGATCTGTTGATCTGATCACATTTGTCTCGTCTGAGAGAAGACAATAGAGAAGAGAGTTCAGACTCACCCGCAGCTGAAGGATCTGTCCGTCCACCCACACCGCTTGCCGTGACCCCCCGCCACCGCCGCCGCCGACGTTGCGCGGATTTAAGGCGCGAGGAAGGCAGGCCGTTGATAAGCCTTTGGTCCGATAGAAAAGTTTTAATGATACACCTTAAAAAGTGCGTTCAGGGGTCTGTGTGGAGGGTGGTGTGTTGAAGGGCTAACGGTTAGCTAAACACTCTCGCTCTGCACTGGGTTCCCACTCATCCGCGAGCAAACAGATCCGTATCGGTGTTTGCATTGAGTGCACTTGTGCATTGCATTTTTGAGAAAGTCAAGAAACCTCCCTGAAATGGGAATAGGGCCACATCGCTGGTGGAGATAAACACGGCCCTGCTGACATATCCCCGTGTCCGCATTTCCTACAATCAACCAACTCTCTCTGAGTGACAGCGACGTGCGCGCACCCGTCCCGCAAGACGTGAGCGCGCTCAGTATCGACTGACGTAACGACGTTTGAATATCTAAGCAAAACAGCTTTAACATTTTTGTTTTCAATTCTTTTTAATGTTTGTAGTATTTTATTATGTATTTATTTGTCAATGTTTTGTATTCAAACCTCTTTTTTCTCTTTGTTTTAATTTTGCTTCTCGTTGTCTATATTTTGTTTTGTGCAATAATTTAAAAAAAAGACAGAATATATTAAGAGATAACTACGATAAATTAAGATAAGGGAATCGTTATTTAAAATAACAAATATATATATATAAAGCTTTTAAATTTAAATAAAATCAAATGTTGATTGTTTTTTGGTAATGCTTTACTTTAAGTGGGCCTTGTTAAAATGTAGTTACACATTCATACTGATTGATATTAATTAACGTAGGATACTTACATAGGGTAAGTATAGTAAGATAGTATATTAAGCAGGTTTAGCTGCTTTATCTGTGACATGACAAGTACCACAAATAAAGTGCAATTGTTTTTATCCAATAAAAATGAATAATCAATCAATTAATTAATTAATAGGTAAATAATGAAAAGAGTATTAATAAAAGGTGAACCGAAAATCAATATTATATCATTATACTAGTTAAATTTCACAATGTATCAACCCTGAAAAATTATATTTTTGTATGCCATTATACAAAAGGCATATGCCAAACGAAAGATAAAAACAGTTAAATATTATACAAAAGCGTTACAAAGGGTAAATCAAACTATGAGGCACTTATTCCTGAGCAAAATTATTATGTGTGTATAAAAAATAAGGGCAATTTAGAGGAAGAGGGGTCACTTATGAGAATAAATAGTTAGAAATGCCATTAAAAAATTATCTTATGCATTTATGTTATTTATAATAACAGACGTTGACATAATGCTTTATATTAAAAAAATGTATATACACAGATTTATCACTAGGATGTATTATCAATTCATCATTCCAAGAAAATAGGTAAGTCATAGAAATACAGATTCCTCGAAAGGGTCACGTCTCATGTTGATCCACTAGGTGTCGTTGTTGTCCTACAGTTTGTACATGCAATGTAGCTAAATAATGTCTAACCATAATTCCTTCAGGGGTAAACCCATGGGTAAACCAGACATTCAGCTGTTCATCAACGTATTATATTCAGTTGTTCATCAATTATGTAAGAATAAATATTGTGACGGTCACTATGGAAGCTGTTACGAGGTACTCCCTACAACCAATTGCAAGGGAATGCCCCTGAACTGAAGCCAGTTGGGAACACCCTCGTGTTTTTTTCTGAAAGTTCGCCTAAAAAACACTGTCATCATTTACTCACCCTCATTTCGTTCCAAACCTGCATGACTATTTCTTCTGTGGAAGAACACACACACACACACACACACACACGTGTTTTTTATGTTTTATGGGAACTTTCCATTGACATAATGATTTGTATATAATACAAACTGTATCTTCTACACCCCCTTACACTATCCCCACCCCCAATCCGACCTACACATCACAGTAACCCATACGATTTAAGCCGTTTTCCTCACGAGGATCAACAAAATGTCCCCACAAATACAAAGATTTCGGATATTGTCATCTTTGAAGGGTTTACCAACACACACACAGAGAGAGAGAGAGAGGAGAGAGAGAGAGAGAGAGAGAGAGAGAGAGAGAGAGAGAGAGAGAGAGAGACGGGGTACATTTTGCAATTTCTTTCTTTTGTTTTTTAAGTGCAAACACAGTCTACTTGTTTGCATGTCTATATGGGTACCATATGCAAAATCATTACTCTTGAAAAAGTTATATTTTTTGTTATACATTGATATTGTTATGGAAAAAGTTATTGCTTATATTGTTATATTTCCTCTATAACAATAGAAGCTGATGTGGAATGACGGCCATCTGGTAAAATCAGAGATGGAACATCTGAGTTTCCTGGCTGGCGGATGAGGGTGGTTATTGTGAGTCACAGTAATGATTCTTTAAAGAGAGTATGGAAGTCTTTACTGCCATTGAGCTATATAGGTAACATTAACATGTGATTCAACTTAATTATAGTGATTTTAAAATCATCAAGCAATAAACAGCATATCATTAAATTGAAGTATTTCCATTTAATTAATTAAATGTAATTACTAAATGAATAATAACAATACTACAATTAATTAAACAATACAATGTATTTAAATCTACATATTTTCCATATAATATTTACACAAATATTTTTCAGTTAAATAATTTGGACAAAGAAATGTATAAATATACAGGTATATGTGGTTAATTGTATAACACATAGATACATTACAAATATTCAGCTCAACGACTTGCCAGATTACTATCAAAATACTTTCAGTTGTGCCTTTTGCATGAAAGTGCTTGTAATGTAAAGTTGATAACACTAATGTCAATAATTACATGACATTTCATTCATCTAAATGTCTGATAGATCTCAACTCAACTGTGGTTATATGATTAAGTGGCTCATTTAATGATTAAATGTACTAAATGCAAAGCACATCCTAAATACTGAAGTACAACATTTAAAAGGATGTTGTGCAGTCTATAATTAGATAAGAGGTCATTACTCAAGCCCCAAAAACATCTTTCATATTTGGCCACAGATGTGTTTATTAAACCTGTCCTCATGATATTAAAGCAGCTGTTAGGTGTCCTTAGTGCTGGTTTCTAAAGGGAACGTGTTGACCCAGCTCTGCGTACGTGCCAGGCACTGCTCCCAGCTGTAGAGCGGTCGATACTGAAAGTGCCGAAACGCTTTGTCTGTGCAGACAGTGAAGGATGTGCTGGCCACGGCGATTGTGTATCCATTGAGCAGTGGTGTGTAGTTGTAGAACGGCTTGAGGAGCCATCGCATCAGGTCGTTCATCCACGCTATGAACCACAGCACCCACAATGGCACTTGCACTGGGCGAAAGTTGAAGGTCGACAGGAACTGCATGTTGAAGTCTTCGTAGCTCTTGTATGGAGAGTCATCGTAGCAGAAATAAAACTCCCCACCCAGCCGTTCGGGATGTTCCCGCAGAGCACGTGCCGCTAGCAGGTGCATCCAGGCCACATTACCTGCGTGAAAAAAAAAAAAAAAAAAAAACACCCGATGTATTTAAGAGATTACACAGTGCAATCAACTGAAGCAAATTAATTATAGCATTTTTAAAACCATTACATAAATATATAAACAGCACCGGTACATTCACATTCTATGCATGTGCTGACATTTGTCCTACTTATTTAATAGTCAAGAGTTCTAGGGGGAACATAAAGAGTTAGGAGAAATATAAAATAGTCGAAAATAAATACATAAATGTATTATATCAAATAAAATAAAGTTAAAATGTACTAAATTAGAAATTATTCCATTCCACTTTCAAACCCTTATGGAGGAGTGATCCAGCTCTCACATGAGGGTGAGTAATTACTGACAGAATTTTCATTTTGGGGTGAACTTTAAACAACTCTAGTTGAATAACAGAGTATTCATTTTGTTTGTTTGTGTTAAATAAAAGGCGAACTGTGCTGAAATGTGTTGCTTTTGAAATCATGCTTTGCTAGCTGTTGCTGCTGTCAGTTTATTGACAAGCAGTTTCTCTAAATAAAGCGTCGTCTCTCCCGATAGAACCCCTTTCATTTCTCTTCCTCCTTCCTCCTTCTCCACATCTTCAAAAAGAAACTGCGGCGTATCGCTAAAATGTAAACAAATACTAAACGACGCTGTCTCTCTTTTGTTAATTCTGGAATGTTTAGTCGCGCCTCTGTGAGGTTCTGATGGGGTTGCCCCTGGCAAACGATAGCGTCTCCTACCATCATCGCCGACCGGCTCAGACCCCGCCCAAATCGGCACGTGACTCCTCACTCTCAATAGAATCTAAGTTTATATCTAAGTATAAATGGACATTCTCAGATTCAGAGGGAGTGTATAAAGTGACATCAAATCAATCAAGATTCTATTCTTTTTTTCTCAGTTCCTCTGTTGCCGTAGTTACTGTGTTTATGGTAAATCAGAATCATCACACACTGAAGCAAGAGTCAGTTGGTTAACCTGCATAAACCCGTCCATGCTCCGTGTCCCGTGGAACTCCCCTGATCACCCAACCACCTGTACGGACCGCGTTCCGGTAGAAGTCCTTCATGAGCTGGTGTTCTTCCCCATAGATACCTGTTGGCCGCAGACAGCATGTGTAGAGAATGTTCCCTCCCTTTACCTAATCATGGAGAGTGAGAAAGAAATCAATCTTTTTTTGCAGCAGAAAAGCAAACAAATTATCTTTCCATATTCCATTACAAAACAAATCACTTAGATGCAGTAGACACCAACAATGTTATGAAGATTTATAGTGTTTAGAAATGCCAGTAAATCCATGGCACACTGAAACGCCAAGAGCAAAGGCGTGACGACAATGAAAACATATGTAGTGATTTAAGGATTCCAGCTATGCGTTATTTGTTTCCCTTGGGTTTGGGAGGGTGCAGTATTGTGCAAAGCTGGAAAATAGCAACTAGGATGTGTTCGAGAAGTAAGAGTTTCAAGTCCATCAAAATGTTAGTATATTTTAATAATTTTTTGGTGATATTTGTACATCTCTCCTGAATATGTACATTACATGCAAGTACTAAGTAGAAAACTTATGTTAAAGGAATAGTTCACTTTTTTAAAAAAAAAAACTTTTGCTGATAATGTACTCACCCCCATGTCATCCAAGATATCCATGTCTTTCTTTCTTCAGTCGAAAAGAAATTAAGGTTTTTGATGAAAACATTCCAGGATTTTCTCCACATAATGGACTTCAATGGGAACCAAACAGTTCAAGGTCCAAATGAGAGTTTCAGGGCAGCTTCAAAGGGCTTTAAACGACACCAGACGATGAATAAGGGTCTTATCTAGGACCCTTCGAGTCATGACTCGAAAAAAGATTTGTTCATTTTGATGAACAAGTTCAAACAGGAGAGTCATGAACA